AGGAAACATCTGCTCCTATAGAAGAACCGATGTTTGCTAGTTCGTCTTTGGAAAGGCCAAGACGACAAAGGTCATTTGTCATGAGCAGAAAAGATGCAGCGTTTGAGGGACCTCCTCCAAGCCCACCACATTCTGGGATCTGCTTTTCAACTACTATTTTGTAATTCTTGAAAAATGTTATAACTTTTTGTGGCTCAGAAATCCTCTTTAAAAGAGCATCGTACGCTCTGTAAATACTGTTTTGTTCCCGTGTACAGGAAAAGTTGCCCTCTATTGTAAATTCTCGACATAATTCTGATTCAAAACAAATTCCATCATACACATGTGGTAACCGAATAAATCTCGATAATATTTCGTGGTAGGATCCTCGAGTGCCAGTCACTTTCAGAAATATATTGATTTTTGCAGGTGATTTCAAACTAAATTTAGCCATTAGGTAATGAATTCAAATACCTGGAAAATCAAACATATTTTAGACCATTGTGCATTTAACGAATTATATACTTAAACAATTTTTATCAAATTATAATGAACATACTTCATTTCAAAATACAATGTAAAAGATCAAGCATTTCACCAAAACGATACGTATCATGTTGAATGTTTAATTGATCAAAAGACTAACCATTTAATGTCAAAGTTAATAATATTTGTTTTATCTAACTTATTATGTTTGATTGTTGTCTAATTTCCGTTTACCAAGCTGTAACTTTTGATTGAAAAACTTCGCTTTGTTAAAAAACATGCTACTGTAAATCATGGTCTTAGGGTATGACCATTCGAATTTCTGGGGGCCAGGACGATTTTGAAAATGAGTAATCTGGCCTGGTAATAACTGGAAATAAAGAAACTTGTCAAAAAAAAAAGAAGGAAAAGGAATATTTCACCCAACAAAATGCATGATATAAATTTGTACAAGACTGCAAATTGTGAAAATTAATATTCCATCAGGACAAAAATCCCTCTGTACCTCTTCGGGAATTTATATAAACGGCGTGGGGAATTTATGGTAGAACGAGTGATAAGACTGATACCAAGGGAAAAGATGACGGCTTGTGCTTGATGATTTAATCATAATAGAGGGAATAATATATGTGTTGGCATTTATAACTTTTAAATGTTAAAGTCATCTGATTCTTCAAATTCAATGAAAAAGATGATTATGTTTTACATGAAGAAATGGCTATTTGTATCATAAAACACGTGTACATAGACTTGTTTTTAAAGATGATCCTTGTTATGGAATCTTAATAAATGTAAAAAAAAAAGACGTGCACAGAGGCTTAGTTTATATCATATGCATACATTGGTTCAATAATTTCCCTAATATTATAATAACCAGAAACTCGTCTTATATGACTTCAATGATTGTGACTATTCAATATCTTTTGGAATCAAATTTAACGACCGGACCTCAGTTCTAATTTTCATTATGTTCTTAGATTTTTGTTAAAGATAAAATATCAAAATAAATCAAATCATCACTACTTTACTCTTTAACATACAATTCAACCACTTGAAATATAATAAATTTAACTTGTTTCTAAAAGAGACAGCATTATAGAATGCTTGGGATATTCCAAACAATGCAAACTTATATCCGTACGTTTTATAATTGATCTAAGATAAATTAAAATTACTTTTTACAAGTAATAATGTAAGCATACAACATATATTTATCAAAATACAGAACAATGTCTTTTCAAAGTCCGCAACAAACATAGATATCTTTAATTTTTTTGGTTTATATTTTGGAATTGTGTTGCTGACAAGAGTTACTAATTCACCGCAGATCAAAGAATTGCGATGTAAACAACTGCAGGTCCCCGTACTGCTTTCAACAATGCAAAAAACATATACCGCATAGTAAGTTATAAAAGACCCAATGATATCAAAATGTAAAAAAATTCAAAGAGAAAAATAAAGGTCTGATTTCAGTCAACAACACCAAACGAAAACCGATGATGAACGACGGCAACCAATAACAAGTACTGTACTGCACGCTTCGAACTCAAAAATAATAACAATGGTCAAAGCATAACATTCAGTACGTTTGAATTTATTTGATAAAGTTGTTAGGTTGGGGCTCATTTTGAATATCATGGGATAATTCAACACTTTTATAATTACAAAATTATCAACTACGGGTTAATATTTTTTGGAAACCTCTTTTAACAGTAAATAAGAGATGAAGTTGTAATGACCACGAAAAAAACGATGGGAACACTAGTGGAAGAAGAATTGCTTATTTTCCACCTTTGTTCATCCACTGCTATTTATTGAGCTCGTGTTGTTCGATCTTTAGTTTTCTATCGTGTTTTTGATGAATGTTGTTCGCTTTTAGTCGTATCTTCCGTATGGTATAGTCGTTTTCTTTCCAATTATTGTTTATGATTACCAGCTTAGTATAGTCTCATTTAAACATTCAACATACAAAAATGTATATAAGAAATCAACTGTATACTTATTTTGATATAGAAGTCATTCACCATGACAACATACCGAAATTTGCTTAAGTTAATACAAGTAAATACAGAAATAGAAATATTAAAGTAATAAACGGCTACTTCTAAAAATCAGTTCCTTTAAATCACTGCACACTTGTTTGTTTTATCGTTCGTTGTCAATAATAATACTGAACTACCACTATCACTCGTGAACCACCTTTACAGTGATGTAAATGATTTCAGGTGCGATCATGTTGAGTCTTGGCAGATCGTCATTAAATTCTTCCACATTTTCTCCAAAGAATATTAGCGCTTTCAATGTCATAGATGAAAAAGGAAACACCAGCCGCTAAAGAAAAACCGATATTAACTAGTTTTTCCTCGTAAAAACAAAGACGACAAAGGTGATTTGTCATGCGTAGAAATGTTGTAGCGTTTGCGAAAAATCCCTTAAGGCAACCACACTTCGAGATCTGCGTATCAACTACTTTTTTGTAATTGTTGAAAAATGTATCAACCTTTCTGGTTCAGAAATGCTCATCAAAAGAGCATCCTATGATCAGTAAATACTGTTTTGTTTTAGTGTACATGCAAAATTGCCGTTAATGGTTAATCCCAACATGGTTCTGAATAAATGAGTACAATATTTTTTTAAATAAACCCCTTTGTTTTATTAATTTTGTATTTATATTGTGTCATAGATCAAATTTATTCGTTCAGTGTATGTTCACTTGTTTTTGTTAATATGTCTTTTGATTGAGTTAAGCCATTTCAATTGATATTTTATAGTGTGTCTTTCTATGTTGTGATGTTACACTTATGTTTCAGGTAGGGTGAAGGTTGGAGCCTATTTAAATGTTTAAACCCGCTGCATTTGTTTGCACCAGTCATAAGTCAGGAACCTGATGTCCAGTGGTTGTCGTGTGTTGATGTGGTTCATAAGTGTTTCTCGTTACTCGTTTTTTTTATATAGATTAGACCGTAGGTTTTCCTGTTTGAATGGTTTAACACTAGTCATATTTTGGGCCCTTTATAGCTTGCTGTTCGGTGTGAGCCAAGGCTCCGTGTTCAAGGCCGTATTTTGACCTATAATGGTTTACTTTTACAAATTGTGACTTGGATGGAGAGTTGTGTCATTGGCACTCATACCACATCTTCTTATATTTATCTGTTGAAATTATGTGATGGTGGGAAGATGATCTTTATTATTTCTAATCAATATTGACATTATTTAAATGTTGAATTAGCTAAATTAACCATTACTGCTAAATTACGGGAAAAAATAGCATAGAGGCCTATTCTAAATAAAGAAAGAAAATTCAAACTAGTGTGGCTTCTGAAAAACTATAGTTATATTTATTCAGTTATATTTCCACTGAAGAAAGACAATGGACTTTTTAACTTTGTAATATCCCCAATTCTGTATTGCTAGATTTACTAAGAATTGTTCATCAATTGAGTTCCAACCACGCAAACCATTTAATCATAGTACTACTAAAGATAATTTTGATAACAATTATTTAACATAAAAAATACATAAGAAATAGTGGAGATACAACACTATAAAAATATTTTTCTTTGAATTAACTACATGATTAAGCCATTATAATATAGAACATAGTAGTTCTGACAAAAACTCATAGAGTGATGAAATCTCTTATTATACTTGTTCAAATAGATAGACCATTGCACTTTGATCTCAAATATATAGCTATCTCAATTTTTATCAAAAGTAGACATAAAACACTACAAGATTCACACGACGCTGTGTCTATATTGATGATAAGATCAAGATATAAAGTAGACATTCTCCTTTCGGTAGTATACTCAATCGCAAGTTCAGAATGCATTTTGTAAGGAAATAAGCAGACCATCATTTTCGATTTTCATTGAACATGTTATAATAAGGCATTTCAGATTCATCATGGCATTGTAGTATTAATAAATTTCACATCAATTTACTTCGTTTTTGATCCCGTTACCACATGCATATATGATAAGGATTTGAATTTTAAGTTTAAAATATGTACTCAAAAGGTTATCTATGTTTGCCCATACTATTATATCTCAGTCCTGTATTGTGCAACGATAATATCGTAATAATTAATTTGATTGATCTGGATTTATGACTTTAATTGAACTGTTTATATTACCAAAATTATCCTTCAGGGTGTAAATGAATATAATACTTTAGATAATTTCGTGCGTTAGAAGCGCTTTTCAGGAAAAACATTCAATAGGAACGCCTAAAATCCGAAAACATAAAAGCCAATTTGTAAATTGAAATTATGGTTAAGGCAAATATGACACTAAATGGTTTATAATGGAGGAGGGGGTGGGGATGGATGGCGGGGGGAGGGGGGGGGGGGTAATGGGGGGGGGGGGGGTTGTCCTTCATGACTTTTAATAACGAACACAACTTCCCCGCTGTCAAAAGTTTTCAAATAAATTAGCTTTTCATGTATGTCCATGCCGTACATTTTACATCAATTAAACGCATAGAAAACACTTACCTGCTGTCTTTGTTTGAACCTATAAACGAAAATTATCTGTTTAAGCAGAAACTGTTGGTTCTGACTCCATCAACAATTTACATAAAATCTGAAAAAGCAATGTACAGAGTGTTAATAAATTGTTTCCTCCATTGAAAATAGACGACTCTTGTTTTCCACCCTAAAAAAAGCTATTCGCGAAAAAAAATCAGTCAATCAGGCTTATAACAAAGCACAAAGCGAAATCATGAAACGTTTAACTTGTATTCGTACAAACAGTTTGTTTGGCATTATCCGAAAATTTACTGTTCACGGCGGTAATAAAGAAGATGCAAGCAAACGAATTGATTTGTTGTGATGTTAATTTACAAAAAGACGTGAGTACGTTTCTTATTTTATCGTCAACAAATAATGTATTGCCATTTTATTTGTTGGAATAATTTATGTCTTATTCAATAAACTAATCTTGCTCGGAACACCACTTCCCTCTCTTTGGTGAGAAGGATGCAGCAGGAATGTATGTATGAAGGTAACCGACGTTTGTCGATGTTCAAATCTCTTTAATCGATTAAGAGGACAAATCAAGGCAACACTAAAAAAAACCTCAGGAAATGGCATGGACTCCAAAAGGAGAGAGACCAATTGCACGGAAAGGGCAAACTTCCCACTAGTCATGCATCATCCGCCATGCGTATCCACACCCAGTCAAACTATCACAATCGGTAATAGACACAATTAGTAAAACTACAGATTAAACGACTATTCTGGTTTATAAATATTAAAGAGTGCGCAGCATGCCAATTATGATTTGAGACAATGGCATATCGTATCGTGTAACTAATTCATGATGCTGACCATACAGCTTATGTAGTGTCGATTTCAGTCGATCTTTCTCATAACTTTGTTGGAGCAGTTTTTTTTCTGTAAGTAGCAAACCCTGCTAATAAAGGCATTTTAGTGTGATCATGCGTATTAATTGAGAAATGTAAACGTCATACGATCGGACAAGAGGGTATGTTACTGCAGAGAAATGGAAAGTTAATAATTGATAAGTCTACATAATCATGTGTGTCATAGATTTTAGTTTGGAAGTCTTCCATTTGTGTTCATATCGGGGAAAAGATCAAGATATAAAGCAGAAATTCGAATTTCTGTGATATCATTAATCTCAACTTCATTGGAATGTGAGATGCAATCACTAACTGAAATGTAGGTTATTAAGTGACAGGAAATCTTCAATATATCTGAAAGTAAAATTAATGAACTTTGCAAGATGTTTTTTTTTTCTTTTTTTTTTCTTTGAGAAGGTTTTGCATGAATTATGGTTCATATGAACACAAACACAAGTCGACCAGTAGTGGTGAACCATAGGTATCACTGAAATAAAAATAAAAAAGTCTAGCATTTTGAACAAGTTTTGATATAACTGATTATTAGTATTTTAGTAATTAATTTTAATGACTTATTGAAACTTATGTTTTGCACGTGTTTACACGTAAATCAACGAAAATTAAATAGGCATTTTGACGCCAAAAAATACTGATATGTTTAAATGCAAATTGATAATGTCATGGCGTAGACCAAATAAGTACCCATATTAGCCTTTGGGCAGTGGTTTTTCGAATACGTATTTGACAGAGTAAATTAAATTGTATTTGTATTGGTAATGTGGGATCCTTGACAAGACGATAAGTACTATGTAAGACACAATAAAATAACAAAACCATGATATGTTTATTTTTATATGTAGGTAATCATTCAATATTTAATGTCTGTTTAATTGACAGATTAAAGATATGTTGGTGTTCTTATTTCTGCCTCTTTTTTTCTTTTTCACCTTAAATCAAAGTTTGTTGCAGACTTTCTTTGATTGAAAGAATCTAAACCAAACGTGTCTGGAATAGACAATGACACTGTCATTCCTAATTCATCAAATTGCGTTCTATAGCCATGCATTAAGTAAACGGCAGCAAATCTGTATGACAATTTTCCAATGTAGGGATGTCGGTCGGATAATTGCTTAATTACTATTTCCATTTCATTCATGTATTGCTGAAAAATACTTGACTCAGAGTTAGGAATGTTACCTAATTTCCTGAGTTCCAGTTGAACTTTTAAATGATTCATCATTAAACGCGGGTCGATGTAAAATCGCGGACATAAATCATATCGCTTTTCTAGTTCACCAATGACAAAATGAATTGGACAATCAAGTTCATAAGACTTGTGGTATTTGGTAATTGAGATACCAATCTCACTTTGTTTGCATATATGTGGATCGAACCTTTTTACAATGGTCTCAGCTTCTTCATATTGCTTTGTTAGATATAATTCAAAAGCGGCATGAGCAATTTCACTTAAACTTTGGCAGCTGGATTGATTTGGTACTAGTTTGATTAATAAAGGATCGCGTGTGCCAATGCTAATCACAAATATATTAATAGCATTTATAATTTTTTTTAAGTGCTTGTCGGATTTGTAAGATTCTAAAACCTCTCGAACACTGTCACAAGCCTCATTTAACTGTCCTTTTAGATAGTTTTCATGCAACGAATATGTTGTCATGCTTAAAAGACGTGTCAAATAACCGGCGATATATCGTTCCATTTTATCAGATGTTTCAAGCTGATTGATGTTCCTAATTGCAAATTCCAGTGTTTTTGAATAGTCATTTGGTATTTCGAGATCGCTGCAAAGCAATTCCAAAATGGTTTTTGAAATGATATGCATCTCATTCAGAAATTTGTCATGATAATATTTTTCTTTGCCCCCTGAAGTTTTATGAAGAGGAAAGACATTACATGCCTTTATAAAATAATGGGATATATTTTGCTTCATTATGCTACTTTTTATCTCGCTAAAAAATACTCTGATAAAATTTAGTGAAGTCATGTTCTCCCATTTATCTTCACTTAATTCTTCTACCATATGGAGGAAAATAGTTTTAAGATGGTAAGAACTCAACAAATCATAATTTTCCTCGGAAAAAAGTCGCTTGTAAACGTATTTTGCAATTCCATAGTTTGTTCTCATTTTCTGAGTAAGACGATCAAAACACGAAATTTCAGCCATTGAAAAAGAAAGTCGGAATTCTTTGTCTTTGTTAGACGACAAAGGATTTCCAGTTGAAACAAGAAAAAGAGGAATTGAATTTACTATGGTATCTTTCCATTTAGAATTTATTACAAATTTCTCAAGAACAGGGCCTCGTTGATTCCATGTAGAAGCTATGCACGGCCATTTTTTTAATCTTAGACAGGGAACAGTATCATATTCATTTATAACCCCTTTCCCTGCCACTGATGGACAAGTTGCCGAGACCTTTTTATCTTTCTCGAAATCGAAATGGCTAGCTTTAACGACATTCTCTTTAAATATACTGGGCACCAAATTAAAGGCGTTCTCAACTGTATTCCATTCAAACGTGTCTGCAGTAAATATGTCAGCATTGTTTTTTTCTAGAATGTCTCTATAATGCTTTTGGACAAAAATTGCTCCAAATGCAAGTGATTCAGCACTTGGTTTCCAGTATATATCTTTACATTCATTATCACAGTTCACTTCTATTCCGTCCAGTTCAAACATGTAATCCACATCGGTATCTTTTCCAGCTGGAAGTATTCGTGTTTGCGATTCAACTCGACTTCCAGCCCTGTGTTGAATTATGTTTCTGGTCACTCGACTATCCATCCATATTTTATGATGTGCGTTTCTTATATTGTAAACTTCTTGCTGCCAGTTGTCTAAAACAATTAAATATTTCTCTACTACTTCATTTAGTAGTAACTGTAATTGGTCCGCTTCATTTGCAGAGAACTTCTGTGTCTGACTCTGAAACTAAAATGTTTACAGAAAGATTATTATTAGTTATTATTCTTTACTATTTAGATATAATGAAACAAAAGCGTGTTACCATTTTCTTTGATTTACTATATGCACAATATACAGATTCTGTCGATTTATGGGACAACATTCTCTTTTATGATGAAAGAATAAATATGTGAATCAAAGCAATCGAACGTGGTTATTTTCGCGTCGTTCATTAGGCGGTTTCAATGCATAAGCCTTCCACAAAGGGATTAAATACGCCCGTTAAATGAACAGTAAAAGACAATTTCGCGTTTTTCGCATCAGAATATTTTTATAGAATAAAATAAAATTTCTATAAGGGCTGTCTTTTTTTTCAGTAATTAAAAATTGTGAGTGCCCGACGGAAAAGTATCTTTATGCCTAACGTATTGTAAATACGTTAACGTATACATGTGAGAGCGCACGTTTATTTATTTTTATTCTTTCTAACACTTAAATCATTTGTGAATGAGTGACGGTTGTATACATATGTACAAAAATTATTCAAAAATTTCCAAAAATACTTTGTTTGCCCGATCTTTATAAACCAAGAACTCCGGAGAAACAGAAATTTTCTGAGCACCTTAACAATATTGTTAATTACAATATGTTTCACAATCACATGGAATAAACAACAACAACAACAAAACGTTGAAAATATTTTCATTATGTCCCAGTATAAGAGGCGAAAATTACGCGGTATGCTATAGACAACGACCCTAAATAATGGCATTTCTTTCTAAAATAACATAGCAGAACGATGAACGACAACACACTCTGTTTAATCAATCACTGTACCTACTGTTGTTAAGAACATAACTTCATCCAAACCAAAAGGACAACCAAAATTGATTTGTACAGAACTTGACTCTGAAGTTTGCGATTATATTCGTGCTTTGAGATAAGATGGAGGTGTGATTAGCACAACACAAATTGCCCTTTAAAGAAAGACTTCTCTGTTACCCGTATATAGAGAGACAATAAAGCTCTTTCGGGGGGGGGGGGGGGGGGTCGTATCGACTCAGTCAGATTAAATAACAAGAAAAGAAAAGCTGCGAAAGGAATTAAACACTTAAATGATGATTTTGATTTTTTTTTATGAAAATAGATTTTACTTTTCGATTTACTTCAACCTACTCTGTATACCAACTTCTACAAATCTGCCTATAAGTTTGAATTATAACGTTAGATATAATCATGATTCTAAGCAGAAAATGTACAATGAATACGTTTATCGCAAATTTGTACATTTTCCCTTTGATCTTACTGCCTAATATTTTTAAGATCATAGACAGGACTTGATACTTGAAAATATTGGGCACTGACGTCATGTATCAGTGCAGCAACGTTACGTGCTCAAGTCCATCCGCGTCAATTTATCAGTGAAATGGACTCGACTCAATTCATACAACCGAACAACTATCCCGACGTTTTGTACGCGTAAAAGTAGTTTTACTATTTCAATTTATTTCATATTCTAAACCAAAAAACATACAGTTAAAACAAATTGCCGATAACAAAAATAATGGCATTTTATATTTTAATACTGACTTCATCAGCTCGAATATCAGTTTGCCCTTGCTGATAAAGTCAGTATCGAAAACAATAATGCCATTATTCTTTATGTACATTTGAAGAGGGGAAATATGTTGCAACATTTTGAGCTTTGCATGAACCTGTTATACATAAATGATGTCATTGATGTCCTTGATATATTAATAATCAACATTTCTGTTCAACAGTTACTTATTTACTCGGGTAAATATGATTTAAAATAGTCACAATATTCAGATTATGTTTAAATTTATAGGTTTGCATGCTTTCATAGTGTTTGATTTTGTCAGTTTTTATGGACTTCCCCTTTTTGAATTTGCCTTGATTTTCAGTATATTTGCGACACTTTTTTTTCCAAAATGTCTATCATTGAAACAAATTACTTTACATAATATATACAGAAAGTTCATGATTCATAATGATACTTTTTAACAATTCACACTACCGAATTGCTTTGTGTCTCAGGTAAAATTTTAAACTGTACACCTATACCTATAATACACACTAAAATATCAGTTAGCAGAAAATTGTGTGGCATTGAGAAAATGCATTTCAAAATATTTTACTTTTGCTGTCCTAATTTAAAGAGAAACTCGAAAGGAAATACAAAATGTATCCGAAAATTATTAAAAAGGCTGTATCAAAATAACAAATGATATGATTGTCAATAAGACAACCATCTATAAGAGACCAAATGACGTAGATGTAGGCATAAGTATGTCATCATTAGTAAACATACTACCGAGTATATTTTGAAGGGACAACAAAAGTTCTTAAATCTACCTATAAAAGCAGAAATACGTTACACGATAAGCTTCAAGTTCGATGTATTTGACCTTTTTAATTAGTTCTGTTTTGTAATAGTGTTTCAAAGAGGACTTACTTCATCTGAATAGCTACGTTGGCATATTTTCTCAAACGCATTTCTATGAAGGTTATTTACAACTTTTAACATTAGCAGACAAAATGCATTCCCTTGAAACCTTATAAGATACAGATAACACTAACATCCTGAATCGACGAAATACATACAACACCATGTCAAAGAACACACAAATGCAAATGACTTTCTACAGATCATTATACTACAGCCAAACGGCATCCACTTTAAATTTGCAGTTAATCAAAGATAGTTATTTATAACACATAAGTAACAAAATATAATATTTGGGGACTTGCAGTCAATACATATTTACATCGACTTTGATAAGACACATAAGTTACTTAAATCTACGTAATTTTGTCTTTGATGGACAGTTGTCTCATAGGTAATCATACCACATCTCCGTATTTATAAATGTAATCCTACCGCATTTATTAAGCGTTTCATATTTACTCTAACCAGTAACAGTAGAATAGAGGCAATAGTAGTTCACCGATTACCAAATCTCACAAATCGATTAAGAAGTCAAAGCTATGTAGCAAACAAAAATGGAAGGAATTGAAGGAACTAGTGTGAGTATCAATTGAAATATGTAAACGTCTCATATTGTGGCAGATGGTATGCAACGGCTGCGAAACTTGTTCGACTACAAGATAAAAATTTATTCAAAGAATGTATGGAACGTCAAGGTCATGGAATGATAATCAAAACAGGGTAAAGCAAATTACAACGGAAGTTAACAAGGGAGCACATGGGACAACCGCAAGTTTATTATGGTGTTCATGTTGCTCAATCTATATTTTTCTATGATATGTTGTTTGTCTGTTCGTCGTTTTTAAAGTTTACCCTGGTGATATATATTTCTCTTCGATTTCTCTTCGACTTATAATTTTTTAATCGTTCTCTACTTTTAGCTAATCATTAAATCTATAATAGACAATTTGTCAAACTTAGCATTATGAGTCATAGCCAATACTGACGCATTAACATATTGTGATTTCTGATTTTTGATGACTGAAAATGTCATAGTTTTAAAAGTTATATAACAAATCAAAGAAGAGGAGAATGTTACGCTATAGAATGTTTAAAGAAAGATGATAAAAATGAATGGTCTATTAAAGCTTACAGTTATTTACCGATGTTCAAATCATTACAGACTAAATTATTACCTACCTCAAACTGGTTTTTCAACTGAGAAGATGTCATTATTTTTATTCTTCCACATTACTTGGCTTAAAATGTCCAGAGGTCCAGAGAACATGTCATTTCAAGTATTACTTTATGCATAATATATCATAGACACAGGTTACATTTAGATAACAGTTACACTGTGCCTGACACGAACTTAAATCAATAAATTTATCTTCTAGATTTTGAAACGTCGGTTATAAAGTACAACTTCGTGGAGCTAATTTTAGATAAAATACGGTGTGTAAATTAAACGTGAAATAGGCATTTTTGTTAGTAGCCGGTTTTTTCGTATTGGTCATATATCATGGCCTTACAATTGGTATGATTGGAGTGTCTTGAAGATTCATATATATACGAAAAGTTTTAAAGCAACATATAAAACGTTATGCATAGCATAACAACCACACGGTTCTAAACAGATCAACTAAAAACTTAATTTACCTTTAACTTAAGTAGTAAGTATTAAAATTACATAATTGTATGAACAGGGTGGCTTTATTCAGTAGGACAACCGGATGTGCCTTTTTGGCCAAAATGTGATTCGGCGGCGCTCAGTAGTCCTACGCGCAAAATTGGACTAATTTGCATCGGCCGACGTCAACTGAAAAATGGCGCGCTTTTGTTAATTTTTTTCATTCGTTTATGGCAAAGTACCGACGGTAAATACTGTCGATTGAAAGCGCGTCTTTATGAGAATAATATATGAGTTTACATATTAGTTTACTTTTTGGAACATTAAAATAACAGGAAATCATATTTATTTATATTTGAATATAGAATTTTGATTTTGATTTTCTGCACTATAAATTAAAAGGCGATATAAAAAATGGGTACAATAAAATATATATCCTTCGATTTTCTAAAATATTTTGCATCCTATTCTCGCTAGTATTTGGCATCGAAATTCGTACTGAACAGGGGTGTTCAAGCCAGGGCAAAAATGTGTACCCATTTTCAAGTAGGGGTCTCACATTTTTAGAGCTTTTTCTTTGCATGGGCGGTGGATTTAAGTAAATTTTCATTCAAATGTCATGAAAAGGTGAATCCTTAAATTTACCCCTTTATAAATAACAATATGTGTCAATAAATTGTAAAATTCTAGAATTTTTTTTCGAAATTCAAGAAGGCACTATTTTTGTCTTTTTTTCTATTACGTCTATCGGTCTGCTATAATTATTAGTTGTTTCTAAAAAATCTCCGCCTCGATTTTTTTATTCTTTCATATAATAATCTTTGGTACATAATGTATATATTATGAAAAAAATAGGTAATTCTATCGAGAACAAATGGAGAACAGTCATCTTTCTTTTGTGTGTCCCCACAACGGGGGCATGCTCCTCTCGCAACCTTGTTTCTGAAG